ACAGGTTGATGTGCTTCTTGAAGAACAATAATATTACTAATAACTGAATCAAGAATACAGCGTTCATCCTTTTTCTCAAATTCACTCATTCAGGGAAACTGCCTGGATTACTATCCTGCTGGAAGTCCATTAACTGTTTGATTTAAAGCTATTAAAAACAAAACAAAACCCAAACCCAAATATTTTGAAGGCTGATAATTACTATGGTTCCATTAAAAACAAACAAAAACCCCACAGCAACTTCTCACTTGAGAAATGAAAGGATTATTTATTCCACTTAGCTGTACCAAATGAGAATATGCTAATCATCATTTGTATAGGCCATGTGACCGATCCAATAAGTGAGGTCTCTGGTAGCAAACATGACTTTGCAAAGAAAAATGTGGGTATAACGTCCCACTCCCACCCCCAATTTTCTTCTTTAATTCTTCCTGATATTGATATTACTGGCGTTTGAAAACATTGTCCATTTGCACTTGCTGAACTAAATCAGAGGCAAGGTTCTCCTGGTTCGGGATCCTCTTCCACAGTTGTAACCAGATGTTTAGGGGAAAATGTGCATCTCTGTCATGGGTAAATGCAGAATAAACATCTTGTAGTTTCTTATACTTAAAAGCTTATATAAGTCCTGAAGGACAGGACTTAATACTTTTGTAAAATATTATTAATAGCTATAATTATTTACAACAAATCTGGATTTTCTTGGCATCCAAGACCCTTCTGATTCTTTTCCATCCTCCTGTTGTTGAATGCTGAAGTTTTGCTTCTGCTTCTACACAGGTGGAGGGCTGCGAAATCAGAAATGCACTACTGGACACTTTCTCCCAAAATGAAACTGCAGGAAGGGTGATGGTGGAAACAACTTTATTAATAGAAAGCAATTGCTGCTACACCTTTGCAGGAGCCCAATGCTGTTTGCATGTATCATGAGCTGTAGTGGAGCAGGTCCTTTGGATACCTCCATTCCCATGAGCTGTGGTGAGTGGTGCGGTCCTACTTACTGAACTGTCAGAGCTCAGCACCTGCAGATCAGGGTGGCAAACACTTGGGTCTGGTGCCTCCATTTGAAGTGGCAGTTGTAGCCAGGATTTCTGCATTACTGAGCTCAGCATTATTATATTTTAGTGCTATTTCATGCAATCAAATCTTTTGCTGACTAGAATCCTTAGTCCATGAGTAGATTTATCTGAATATCGAAGGCTAAAAAAACCCATTAACTGAAATATTTTTAGTTGTTGGGATTTTTTGTTATTTGCAGCTGCAAACAGCTTTATATTTCCTCTGATATGCCTTCAACAAAAGCATGTTTACATGAACTACGACAACAGTATGATCAGAGTTTTGTAATAGTTGGGCTCCATAACTTCAGACTGAAAGAGTCATTGAATCCTTTAAATGAGAAAGCAATTTATGCTATTCACATGCTTCTGTTTGCTTGGCGATGATCTACAAGCAAATAATTGACATTAAAATGTTGGAAATATATGGCATTTAGAAATAATAGCAATAAAAAGAGACAAATGAATGTTTGAAATTCAAGAGGTTCAATTCCTTCCATTCCAGGAGTGGAAGGAATTCAGTAAAGTTTAGTATTATGGATGTATGATGGAAGAAGATCCTCTCCACAGCACACTGCAGTCGTCTTCACAGGAGCACAGGCTACAGTTCTGGGTTACAGGAAGAACAAGATTTTCCACTTCCATGGGTGGTGAGCAGCTTCAGTGTTGGGAATCTCTCCTCTTCCCTTGCTCTGCCTGCTCAGCAGGCTTGACTTTGCTGCTGTCAGTGCCTTTCATCGAGTCACAAACAGTGCTGGGATAAGATGGTGCCTCCCACCTTGTGACTCTTGGCCTTCTGGAGTCCCATCTTCATTTGCAGTTGAAAAGTATTGCTTTTCTTCCTGGGAGAAAACATGGCAGAAAGATGTGTCCTCTGCAATCCTTCCTTCCTGCCAAATATTTGCTGTTCTTTGATGGGAAGCACCAGGTCAGGCCTTCGTCTCAGAATAGCAAGTCCTGAGGCTAATTTAATAATAGGGTGATCTTCAATCTCCGTCATCTATTGTTTCAGGCTATCTGTTGATGTAGGAAAATACTAGTGAAATTTTTATTTGTAGCCATGAGGGAAAGTTTAAAGGAAAGCTGGGATCTTGATACAATCATATGCTTTTACTGGGTTGGAGCCCTAGGCCCAGAATTATATCATGGTCCCAAGCACAAACAAAATTAAAGGGAAATATTTTAGTACTTTTCCTCTACGACAATATTTCTCCCATGCACACCGAATGCTGTTAAAGAGTTTCTAGCCACTGTATTATAGGCAAAAGAACAAGCGTCTTGCTTATATAAAAATATGTAAAATATATTTATGCAGATGTCTCCTACTAAATTCTCAATATATTTTGTTGTTGGAGTTCTCTCATGTTTTTAAACCTTTTAAATGCATTCCTAGTCATGACAATGTGTCATTATGCTTTCTGAGATGTGTGCTTTTACACAGTCTGCAGGATGGCTGCTAAAAAGCATTTCCATTTCCAACAGCAGGCATTCTTGAAAGTGGATTAATAAAGGACAAAAGCCTCAGTGATGACAAATATATGACAGTTAGCCAGGACCTGAGTGCTATGCAGATGTCACTCATTTTTGTAGAAATCTCATTAAATTTTATGCTTGGATGTAATCATTCATGGTGTCAGCTGGATGGCTAATGCAGAGAAGCTTTTCTCCCAAGGGCTGTGTTATTGTTCAGGATCTCTCAAACAATTTTTTAGTTGAGAAGAGCCAATCGAGGAAAAAATGCACGGTCTGCTCAAATGCTTCTCTGGAAACGACACAGAAAATGACTGGTCATAAATGCACTACAGTGCAGTCGACCTTCATAGAGAAGACATTTGGGGCTGTGATACTCTCTTATGTGGCTCTAGGAGCACTGGAAACCCAGTGTCAAGGATATTAGTCAATTATCTTCTTTCAGAGCTATTCCATAGATTAATACTTCATTTCAGGACATGTGTGACTGCATTTTGGCAAACTTGTTTTATGTGTCTTTTTTTTTGTTGGAATGATCATCCTGAGAGGTCCTTTAGATTACTTGCCATGGTACAATGTTAATGTGAGAGTTCTTGAAAGACTATTACCAATAATAGCTGTAGTCATTCAGTGAAGCAGTGTCCTTTCCCTGTATCCCAGAACGTGTGCTGATTTACTCCACTGCAGCCTGAACAGGATAATTCTTACTTTCACCAAACAACTAAAAAGCCTGTAGCAGTTCATGAACACAGATTTCTTGTCCTGAAGAATTTGCTTTCTGAATGACACAGTGTACTGGCTTGTCATCAAGAAGATGAGAGGTCAAGAAAAAGAGGAAAAGAAAAAGGCAGTAACTACAGAATGATGGGAAAGGTGCTTGAGAAAACAGGAGCTTGACTGTTTCTTGTAGTGTAAGTCCCTTTTGCTGTGCTTACCTACATCAGAGGAAGTGTTTGCACATGGTGGGGAACAAGAGGATGGAGAGAAAGTTTGACGTATAGTGAGTGCAATAGGTACCATGGCTTTAGTGGATACATCCATGTCCCCATTCCCTCCATGTGTGGTGTACCCAAGTGGTTTCTACAAGGTAGGTACATAAGGGCCCCGGGCAGATGAAGAGGTTATACCCCAATCAGTGGCAGGACAGGTTAGACTCAGGGTTGGAGGTAAGAAAGAGAAGATATTGATGTTCCAGCCTGAACAGTCTTAACTCATTCCAGGGATGAGGGTCAGGAGAAAACCCTGGTGTCCTGCCTGAGAAGGCCTTTGGTGGTACATATATAATGTCATGCTCCTTTGCCCTGATGACTTCTCTACCTTGTACAAACCTAAAAATGGTGGATTTGGGTAAGACAACCTTGAGAGTTGCTGAGTGTTGTGAGCTCAGATGCCAGACTGCAGTCCGTAGCCTCTGAGCTGGATCTTTGTGTAGTGGCAGTTGTGACTTGACACAAAATGTATGGACAGTGCAGGAAACATGAACTGAAATTTCACCTTAGGAGGAAAAGCACCAGCAGCCTATGAATTGCATTGTGAATGACTTAACTAACAGGTCCCAAATAGAATAAGAAACTGAGTTTTAGACATGCTTCTTTCATTGGCATGTCCTACTGACTGTCTTTAGCACTGTAGGGCATCACTTGCCAGCTGTCCCAATTCTGGTCCACGCTGCCTCCTTCACTCTCTGCAATCACAGCGTGGGCACCAGCACTCCCAGAACTGCATGGGTCTCTTTCAGGCACTAGTTCATGAACATCACCATATCCGATTTGTATTTTTGTACTTGTTTGTAGGCACTTTTTTGACTGAAGTTGTAGATACGAGTTAAGTTGACATTTATAAAAAGGTTTCTTAGAACAATGGGTCTTTTTTGAACTCTTAAAAAACCACATTTTTAAAGATATGAATCCCTTTCCCTTTCACACCACTGAAGATATAACAAAGGTCCTGTTACAAGATCAGGTTGCTGGAAGTGTCTCAGTCTGGAACCTGTAGGTTAAAGGGCTGATGCAACAACTACAGTAATATACTATCTTCTAATATTATAA